CCCCCTTCTTTCTGGTGACACACCCTCTCCCGCCACCCCCTGCCCCACCCCACTTGCCCGCGACCACCGTGAGGCCGCGCCGGCCGCACCCACCTCAGCTACCTCACCACGCCACCACCACAACAACCGCGTCTCCATCACGATCACGCCGCTTTGGGAGTTTAAATACCCCGCCACTCGCTCTTGTTCCCCCATGCCACGTGACTAGAGAGGGACATTCCACAAACCCGGCGGCGCGAGAGATGAGGCGAGGTGGAGTGACGCAACTCACCTGGCGAGCGGTCTCGTTAAATCGCTCACGAGCCGTTCGAAAAGGAAATTACGACTTCCGCGCGCACCGGCCGCATCATCCGCGCCGCTTCCCTGTCACGTGTGCTGCCCGCTGAGCGCCCAAATCACCGACAACAACAACATGATAAAAAGCATAAAAGGCAGACGTTTGAAACTAGAGAGCGGTCAGCGGCGGTGCCAGGCCCCGGGTTTGAGAGTAGAGAGAGACTGTCTAGTGTTGTGTTGAGCTTGAGTGGCCTGCCTGCCTGCCTGCCTGCCTGGGCAACGCGAACGTGAGGCGCGCTCAAACGGAATGCGGTTAGAATGCAGTCCACAATGCAGTCCACAATGCAGTCCGCCTCCGGGGCAAGGGCCAGGCCAGCGCAAGCCCAGGCGGACACAGAGGTCATAGGTCCCGTGACCCTTCCCCATTGAGGAGCGGTGAAGAAATACCTGGTGGTTATCATGATTAGCCCCGCGCACTGTTGTAGTCATACTGTACCGCAGGCAGGCGTGCGGGTGGGTTTGCCTATCGTCGCTGACCAACGGCGGCGCCTCACGGCTGCCCGTCTACAAACCTGAATACGACTGTGCAGGTGCAGAATAACCATAAAAGTGCGCGGGGTTAATCGGCCACCCGGTGTACGTCCCCATGTCCTCAGAGCGTGAGCGACCTCCAAGGTCAGGCTGGGGAGCGCGTCACCGCAGCACACCCGCCTTTGTTTGGAGGCGCGCCGCCGCGGGAGGACGGGGGAAGAGAAAGACTGGAAGAGGGGGGGGGGGGTCGGTGTAGGTGGATGAGAGTAGAAGTAGATCGAGCCAGCGCGGCCGGCCAGGCGAGACAGACGTGCCACGCCCAAAAGCGCCCGGAAGGGATGGGGACTCGTGGATAGGACAGCCCGCCCGGCGCGCGGAGGTGACCCCCCGGGCCCCCCGGCGACGAGGTGAGGTGCCCTGC